TATTAACCCAACTCGAGCAAAACCAAAAGATCTAAGACAGTTGAGCAGACACCTAAGGAGAAATCCAGGTAGCAGCCAGCTTGGTTAGAGATTTTGGAACAGATTTACAGTAGTTCACTTTGAAGACTCTGGTACGCTGGGAAAAATAAACCTAAAAGTCTGAAGAAGACAGATAATACATCCTTGAAAGTGTATTTGGAGGAGGGTAGAGAAAACGCCTAACCATAGGGCTGCCATTCAACGTTTCCATTACTAAGTCTTTCTTCATAGGTACTGACAGAAAGTAATGGAGGCAAACATTACAGAGAGGTCCAAGTATTAGCAATACAGTTGTTTGAAAAAGACTGTACTTTTCAGCAGGAGGGGAATTCTGAGTTACCATAGCAGCCACCCACTCTCAAAAGAGGGGAAAGGGAAAAAAGGAAGACTCAAGAACCTAGATGAAAAAAGAAGCTATTGTTAACAAGACAATATGCACAGATGCTAGGTGATAAGGACATGTCTGCACTTAAATGGAATGAGATAGGGGAATTATTAGATAAAGGATAGCCTTTGTTTTTAAACGGGTTGATCGGGGAAATCGGCAAGCCTGACATTGTTTACTTTGACCCCTCAGAGAGCAAGCACTCTGGATCAGCTTGTTGATGATGTCTCTGGACATAGATCAGCTTGCCTGTTGATGTCTTTAAGCTGGTCTGGTTTTGTGAACAGCTGGCTGAAGTGTCCAGGGAGGATTCTGTAACAATCTCTCCCTCTCTCCCAAATATTTCTGTTAACCAAAAAGAAAGCACATTTTCCAGAGATTACATGCTCATGATATACTAGCTGAGTAATATATGGAGGTCTTTATGTCCATGCTCTCAATAACTGTTGTATCACAGCTCATACAAAGACTAGGCTGCTGTTTAAATCTTCTATTCCAGTGAATAGCAATGAGAAAGTTGTTATTCAGGGCCAACTATCCTGATAAACATCATGACAGTGTAAGGACACAACCCCAAATATTGGAACATTGCATTTCTTCCCCTGGTGTGTAATAAACAGTATTTTTATTTGCAACCATGCAACAGGATTAAAAAAAAAAAAAAGAAAAGAAAAAGAAAGACTGCCAATATTGCATCAAGGACCTAAATTTGCAGGCTACAACTCAGCTGATACATCATAGCAATTCACTTTATTAGGCAGCTTATAAGAATTCAGAAATCCTGAGAACAGTTTACAGTGCTTTAGTTAAATGATGACAGTGTCAAGCATCATGCAGCAATACAGTAATGACATAGGATATATTCATTTCTGCAGTTACTGAAAGATTATAAAGTCATGAAACAGATCACAGTAGTTTTAATTTTTGATGTTGCTAACTGTAAACTGACCACAGACAACATAAGGTTTGCATAAAGTACTCTTGCTCATGTCAAAAGCCACTGACACTAGGTATTAGACCTTACTAATGTCTACTTTTTGTTTTTAAAATGTATTAATACTATTTTCCTTCCTGCTTTGCAGTAGCTGAACAGTTGGTTTCCTTTAGTTACTGTGACTCATGGCAACAGTGGAAATCCAACTTTACAGATGGATGAAAAAAATAGGAGCAATTAAAATGAAGAATGCTGAATATTTTCTAAAATAGCTTGTACCAAATTTAGAGGTACGTTTCAGTGAAGCAAAGCCTTAGATATCTCCCCAAATAAAGACAATACTATTAGGAGTTATACTTGCCTCAAGTTAGAATAGAATTTTATTGCTCATCTCTTATTTGCAGATAACACTTGCCTGTACTAACTGATGATCCACATCTCTTAAACAGACATTGCTCACAAAGAACTTTTGGTAAATGTTACTGTCAGTGCTGCAGATTTTAAGCAACTGGTTCTAAAACCATATTCAGAAGCATGGAGTTGGCACACTGTCTATGGATGGGGCTGGAATCTTTTCCATGCTGGCAAATATCAGTTTCCAGATCAATCAGGAATTAAAGTCAGCTCATTAAATATATGCTTAAAAGCAATACATACTCATACACACATATATGCACACATACATACACACACACATGTATAGGCAGGCCACTGTAAAAATACTGAGGGAATTTACTCAGTAAATCGTAAATGGATGACTCCTGCAATGATCACAGAAGCACACACACACACTTGCCTAGTTCCCACCGACACTATGAGGGCAGCCCTGGGCCCATCCAAAGGGCTACAAAGGACTGTGATTACTAGCGCAGGTCAGGTAAAAGACTCCCATAGGCATGTGCTAGGGACAACTTTACTAAGAACAAGATGTGCTTCTGCTTAAGACTAGAACAATGTGCACTCCAAGCTAAGCCAGGGAATACTGCACAGAGTTACTTGAGTGAGATTCATTAGTCACTCTGCCTCTTACCTGCCTCCCCATGCTTTTCAATAGCCTCTAGAACAGCTCTGATGCCAGGCAGTAAACGCCAGTTTTTATCCCAGCCCTGCTCATCACTCCCTTTATCAGAGAGCGGGAAGAAAAGCAGGACTGTCTTGTAGCCGACTGCATTGCAGAATAAGAGGCAAAGTGACTTTGCATGAGCACTGAGGTACCTATAAATACCAATTCTGGTACCTAAAGACATGCACAGATCTCAGAAAACCTGTAGAGATCAGACACTTACATATGCCCACTCTTCTGCTTCACCCCAGCAAAGAATACGGACATGTGCAATTCCATTAATCTGTACTGTGTTAAAACATGGAGAGGAACCACTACCCATCACAGGCAATCCCCACCCTTATTCTTTACCACCCAAAAAAGCCTCTTCCCACATTCTCTGGAAATGGGCAAAAAATAAACCAAGAACCTGGTTATCCTAAATCTATAACCCTTTTTGAAAAACTTGCCCTCTCTCAGCACTGCCTTAGCTTTTGAGGCTCAGAGAACTACTACATCTGTAACTGTCAGAATTAAGTCCAATGAATCAAATTCTCAAAGGCCTCACAGTAACCCATAGAAGGTTTACATATATAAAATCAGCCAATAGTTGTCTTATCTTCTCCCCATTCCTCCCTCCTCCCCTCACAGTGTGAGCCATTTGCTCTCAAAAATATAGTGACATTAAATAGTACAATATACTTACAGCCAGATACATAGCTGCATACACGCTTAGTGCTGCTTCTTTGGATGGGAATGTCTTTCTGGCTTTCATGATAAGATCTGGATTTCCAGTACAGGCATGTACGCTACTGATGAATTGTGTATACTGTTTACATCCAAGTGCTGTATAGTTGGGTTTACAAAGTGCAAGAAAATGTGGTGCAAGATTCCCTGTTACTACTTGTCCAGCATTTACAAAGATGTCCGTAGCAAACAGTCCAAATGCGTAAATTCCTAAAGAGGGAAACAAAGAGTTAAATTTTCTGACAATTTCACTCCAGGGCTAAACAATATTATAGTATTTATCACAGTAATATACCAGCTCCTTCCATTTAAGGACACGAAATACCCTCACGTGTATTGTACCCTAAAGATCCTGACTCGTGCTGGAGATGATACTTTCCTACAGAATCGCAGCAGCAACACTGCAATGTACCCACACACCTGATCTCTCTGGATCCTTTGGAGGAGCACGCTCACCTCTTGTGCAAGTAGCCCGCTCTCCTAGGACCCCTAGCCATGAATCTCCACTGTTTGAGGTAGCTAGCTATACTGGTACCTACCTTTTGCCTATGTTCACTAAACAGAAGTGACACAGGCAAATTCTTCACCCTATAAATCTGCTTGAGAACAAAGAAGTCAAGCCCTGACGGAGAAGTAACTTGAAAAGCCATAACACATACTGGACAAACATTTTCTTTTCCCTTGCAGCTATAAAGAAGCTGAAGTACTGAATAATTCAATATTGCCATGCATGAGTTGTCTTCATCTGCCTGCTACTGGGTACATCTCTTTGCATAGCATATTAATCGCAATATCAACACAGGAGCTAAAGATCTATATATTTGAGGATCTACTTATGCTAAAGAGTTTTTTTTATCAGACATATCAGCAAAGCATTAAACACTCATTCATTAGAATGGAAATGCATGTATCTGATTACTCAAGAGAAAACAGATTTTTGCTATTCTGAGGTCCCTTTCTAACGTTTTGGAAGCAGAAAATGAGCTCTGGAAGGAAATGCAAACACAGCACCCTGACTAGGAGGCAAAGCCAGCAGGTGCGTGTTCAAATTCCACCTCAGCTACAGATTTCCTCCTGCATTTCCATGGGCAAATCACCTTACCTTTTCCATACTTCAATTCACTCTGAATATAGCTTGAGTTCTGGCAGTTGGCAGCTCCCAGCTTCATGGGGCACCATGAGGACTTTAATGAATGTACACCACAGCAGGCACGATCCCACAGAAACGTGCATTTCTAAAGGTCTGGTTTTTTACTCAGCAAAGCTAGAGGACCAAGGACAATTTCTGGGATCCTGGCTGGTCAGCAATGTCACACTAACGTTAATTCACCCTGAGCTGCTAGACACTGGTGAGCAGCGGATTGTGCCTAGCCAAGTCGCTGCACAGAAGGGCCCTTTCAGCAAGCCCCAAGGGTGTACGCTGCCCCAACATAGGTGGCTACATCACTTTGTGTGAGCATAAGGGCCTCCCTTCCCTCCCTCCCAATTTATTTTTTTTGCTTCTGTGAGCAAGGAGGGCCCACCAAGTGGGAAAGAAACACTGGCACTGATTACACACAGAGCAAGTGGAGCAGGAGGAGCTCCTCATCATCACTCCCCACCTCCTCTGGACCTATACAAGACAGTCCCATTCTTAATGACTTTTAGCACTCCAGTGTGACAGTGAGCAATCACGCTCTCATAAGGCAGGCATGGCTGTTATACACACACTGCAAATAAAGACACAGCTGCACATCCCCTCCCTCCCCCTGCGACTGGGGCATGCAGGAGGATTAGCTGCCCCAAGGCTTCACTCCTCCAGCTGTTTCTCTTAGATACAACTGTGAGTGAGAAGCAAACAACAGAATTGACCCCTGCTATGGCATCCCTGCACGTATTAAAAAGCAGCATCTGGGAATATTCATTAGACATTTTGAGTGGTGCTACTTCTCCTTCCAAACACATTTACAAAGAACTAAGTAGAAAGGATGACATCTCGTATCTACTAAAGTCAATGGGGAGTTAACAGCTGACTTCAATAAAGAATGGATTTTGTACAGTTTTCTACTAGAGACTGTATATAATACAATCTCCAGGCTAAGAAAGTACCTAAACTGGCTTGGTTTCAAACACACATTTATATCCCAATGTCTTCAACTTCGGCCGCTATGTGTGTGCGTAACCAAAACAAAACTATCAACTATAGATATGGCACAAAGGTATCTGCTTTCTCCACTTCACCCTACTCCAGGCCTGCTGGTTGTTTTTCCCCCTCGTGGTCCCAATTTTTTCTGTGTTTACTGCTGTTTCTGCAACTATTTTTTTATCCAAACTTCCAGGAAGCTTCATTTGCTACCCAAAACGGGAGAACTCACTGCACCCAAGTTAAGACTACACATGCAATGTTGTATGGTTATCTGAATATTTTTCCAGGTCAAAATTAAGACATAATTGATCACTCTCACCATTCAGAAAATGAAAGCATTAATTTTGCTCATACCAAGGAATCTGATGGTCCTGCGCACCAGTGGATTTATATAACAACAGTCTCCACTTAATATTGTTTTTTCTTGGTTTTCAAAATCCTTTGTAGCTAACTGTAGACAAAACACTGCAGTTTCTCCAACGATAATCTTAGGGAAGGAGAAAAAAGGGGAGAGAAATGGTACATCAGATTACAGCAAGTAAAATATACTAATATGACAGAGATGGCTATCTCATCTTAAGGAAACAAGACCAAACCAGCACAAAAGACAACATAAGTGAACCAAGTTCTGTACGTTAATCTTCTTAGGGAAGTATGCTTTATGGCTTCCTTTATTTGCATTAAAATAGAATAAACTTCTATAACCAGGACTTGGAATTGACATACTATAACCTAGTTTTCAGGATGAAGGAGAAAGAGAAAGAAATCTATTAGTTCAAGAACAACAGATTGCATAACACACAGGATGTGGACCAAAGTAAAGCCCTAATCCTGGAAGATGCTGAACATTTCAGTTACCACGTGGCTTTCACTGACACTCAGCACTTCACAGGGTTGAGCTCTAAATTTTGGACCATAGTGGGGGAGAAAAAAAAAGAAGAAAAAGAAAAAAAAAAAATCACAACGGAGCTCCTGTTCACATCAGAGGATTGGTTTGCCAGGAGGTACTTAACAAGGTTTGATTCATATTTTGTCAGCTAAGTTTATCAAGTCTGGCTTTAGCTTTGTTCCTCATGCTTGAACAAAGTGTCACCACTGATATTTTAACATTAAGCATGGCCTATTTCATGTTCATTACACCAAAATGAATAAAGTTCTCACATCTATAGATCATTCACATTACAGTTGGCAAAAATTAAAAATAATCACAAATAAAAAAAGAAAAATACAGATTTTTGAATGTAAAATATTCCCTCTAAAATGTGTATTTACCTGTACAGCAAAACACGACCTTTAATTTACTCATAACAACTATGGTACTGAGACTTAATAGCCAAAGCCAAGCCTTAAGAGTCTGTCTATCTAAACCTATGATACTGAAGCTTTACAGCAGGTAACATGGGTATGATCAAGAAGAGCAGAAGAGAAGGGTCAAATACTGACCACTCTATTTCAATTTTGATTCACTGTGGGACTTAAAGACAAGGCTCTTCCACTCTTCTATATGAAAAGCAGTAAAGCTTACTGATAGGTACATCACACTTACTTTGATAAACAGGGATGAAGACCAGCAAACTGAAGTCTTAATACTACACAAGTACAAGAAATAATGCCATCAAATCTGATTCATTGTCCAGGTTTGTCTAAACCTTTGACCTAACAGGAAATTATAAACCTTTTCATGTATCATAATAGGTCTGAACAGTTCTACAGACAGCACCAGTTACAAAAAAACCCCTATGGGTGATGGCTCATAAGCACAGTTTGTTGCCAATAGGAAGAATGCAATTAATGACCTTCCTTAGTTATTTGTAGATCTACAAAGATGACTGGGCTAAACTGTGACACACAGAGGAGGAAAGTGCTTCTTATAAATAATGTGGCACAAATAACAAAAATAACTGTGGTGGCAAGCCTGTAAAAGCAAAATTCAGTTTGTCACAGAAACAGTCATCATCCATTACTTTAGACTAGCTTCAGATCCTAGTGGAATTTTTAGATGAAACAGAAATTTCAATACATGAACTTACAAGTATCCTCTCTCTACTTTGATGCAAGCAAATTTTCAGCATACTGAAGTACAATTCCTTCATCTATAATTAACAAACGATCAGTACGCATATGAAATGTAACTCAACATTGAATTCAAGGTCATCAAAATTATGACAATGATATGGAGAATTCAGCCCAATGACCCCTACAGCTCTCATGAAACAAACCAACCAACCAACCAACCAGTTTTAATATGATTCATAACGGTGAGAACTGAAACACTAAGATTCTTACTGTGAGTCACAGTAATCCCCTTCTTTCCTCTGGAATAATGAAACATCAAGGACTAGACAAACTGAACACAGTCAGATCCTGCATTTAACTAATTTTTTTTTTTCCAAACTCAATAAATATCAGTAAAATTATTGCAGATTTCCAAACTCCAGGAAAAAGCAGAATCCAGCACAAGGGGAGCATTTGCGGTACATGATGCTCAACCTTTTGCAAGAACACAAAGAGAACGCGTGCCAGCAAGCTCAACTCTCCAACTCTGAGCAGAGTCTCTGAATCTGCCGATCTAGGAATACAGGCTCTTCTTTTTGGTTGGTAAGGAAGCTGGGGTTAGCAAATGGGAGAACTGCTCATTCAGTTATAGGAAAGGAGACCCTTACTTCCAGCAACCTGTCTTCATCAGCTGCATCTAGGTCCTTGCTGCTGGCAACAATTTTTCCTTGTTAAATTCCCTGTATTTAATGGCAACCTGGATGAAGAAAACCCTCTACTCCAAGAATAACAAAGCAGTGTTCAAGTGCTTAGCTGAACAAAAGTACTCTTAGAGTGGGTACGTAGGTGCAAGGGTCAGAACGATACAGAACTCAGCTAAAGACAAAACTTTTGCTATACTAGGCCTAGTGCTCTACCCTCAGAAGTAAACAGAGTGGGATATGCCATTGAACACAACAGGCATTCATCTCTATGCTTCTGTGGCTTTACTTTGATAGAATTCTTCTGGAATTTGGCAATAAATACAGGTTCTGTATTTTTCTGTACTGGCAGCTCAGCTAAAGCTGTTCTCCTTCCTCCATCCTTCAGCACAAGCACTGCTCATCTCAATAATCAGCCTATTGATGTGTCCATTTCCTTCAGAAATGGAAGGAAAATCTTTTTCAGTCTCAGTAAATCCCAGGAGAGATTCTGTTACCCAGTGCAATTCCTTCCCTTCTTCTCTCCAGCACCACTGGCAATAATCAGCTCTACAGGGTAAAGGAAAGGGAGGGCAATCTCCCTCTTGCCTTTTACCATAATATGCATGCTTGGTATATTCCAGGAAGGAACGATTTCTGTATTCCCTCTGGCACAGGGAACCACCATTACCCCTTCCACTGCAGACCCGAGTGGCAACCAGACAACAAATGACATTTAATACAAAAGAATAACTTGTGTGCTTCTTGGCTAAGTCTTGGGGCAAAAAGTCTTTGGAATATTCCAAAACTGACAGTGAAGGATTGCAATGGTGAATCTGAAAGCTCTGACAACATAAACTTTTGGACAGAGCTACACAAGTTCAGGTATAGAAATTTAATTTGCAATGAAAAAAGTGAGGGTATTAGAAATATCTTTTACTTTATTCTATCTAACAGGGTCATACTACTTTAGACCACTGTAGAGATTTCCTAAAGAATTATATATATTAAAATTCTTAGCTCACTCATACATTAACAGCTGTTAAAAGCAGAGGCCATCCCTGAGAAAACCTTTTGACATATAATTACAGCATGTAAAGTATAAGGAAAAGAACAATTTTCACCTGAAGACTAACAATACAAAGTGCAAGCCTTCCAGTATTCTAAAGAACGTATATAAAAATAATTTTCACAGTCCTTAGGTAAAAATGCAGTGTACGTAACTGTTACAAGAAGGAGCAAGACAAGAAATGATCGCCCTACAGGCATCAGCCTAGGCCCTGACAGGCAGCGATCAGGTCCTTGTTCTACTACAGCTTCCCTCTGTAAACACAGGGAAGGCCCTTAGTCCTGGTTCACAATATGAAGCATAATAGCAACAATACAAAAATCACCCTACATAAAGATATTTAATACATACTTCATAACTAGCATTTAGATAATCCTTCCTTTTTATGGAAGCATGGAAAAGAAATATTAACCCAGCAAAATCTAAATTACAGGAAAAGTTCTCGTAACCATCTCCATGGCAATCGTATCCTGTCTGCAATTTGACAACCCACTTGACAGCCAGGAACTGAGTTTGGAAGGGGTGAGACCTAAAACTAATATTTCTTCTTGTTTCACCTCTTAGCTCCTAACTAATTTATTAGCTGACTGATTTTCATGGTAGTTTTGTACTCGTAATATATTTATTGCCAACCACCCAGTACCTGTCCCTTTCCTTGGTTTCTGCACAGGATACTTACAGCATTTAGCACATGTTCCCTACACTGATTTCTTCCTCCCAAATAAGTTCAGTTTCTTTCTTATTAGTCATTTTTCTGAATCCAGGCAAGCTGTTCCTAGTTTTAGCACTGCATATCAATTTAGAAATCTAATTTGTCCTTCCCAAAATCACCCATCCAGTATATTCTTAACTTGGTTCTAAATTCTGAGCTCTTTTTCAACCTGAAATGTCAAACCTGATTCATTCCAAATATTAGAGCTAGAGCAGCTCTGACCTTGTTGATTTTCCAGTAAACTGACTTCATAAACAAACTTCCCCTAGTGTCACGTATGGTTTACAACAGCCAGCACCTATATAAATAAAGGACCTTAAATCTGCACTTCTGAAATACTAATTAGGTTTATTTTACGGACTACCTTCTCATATATGACGTAACTTCCTATAAAAACCTAGGATTCAAGAATTAAACATTCATTTGTATTACAAGATATCTGAGGGTATATTAATGCATTTAAACAAGATAAATCCTGAAATTTAAGGTTGATAATCTCTACTTGGGATTAGGAAAGAAATTTCTGTGTACACATTCATAGATCTTTCCAGCTAACACCTACTTTAGGGTATACAAATGTTCATGAAATATTTCATATGGGCCAGGGAACGTGGTAGAATACATGATTCCCTCTCTGCCAATTCTTAGGGTTATGCTGTAACTACAGCAACCGCTCAGATAGATGAGTAACACTGAAAAGCAGTTATGGCATTAAAAAGACCACTAAATATTCATCCATGTTCTCAACTTCTCAAGTTAAGAACGGTTGACAATACTGTGCACTGTAATTTCTCTTCTGATTTCTTTTCATTCATTGTATTTCTCTCATTTAGGCATGATTTGAACACTAACCAAGGCTTCTGTGAGACCATCTTCAAGAAATAACATGGCAAGGGATTGTCCCTTTGGGGAATGAGCATCTCAGGCAGTCCACTGTGCTGCTCTTCTCTCTAGAATGAACTTCCTCATAGTTCCTTATCAGGCAGGAAGGGAAGCTAGGAACAGGAGCTAAAAATCTTGGGGATGATCTC